GCAAGGTCAGCAGTTCGAAACTACCAGCTGCTCTGCGGGAGAAAGATGAGGTGTTCTGCTCCCATAAAGATTAACAGCCTCGGAAACCCTGTGCAGGGTCGCTATGAGTCGAAACCGACTCCATGGCATATAATTACAACAACAACAACAACAAGGAGTTTTCATAAGTTTACTCCTTGTACGCTCTATCACATTCGTGGGTATGTTTGCAACAAAGGTTAATCCCTGTGTATAAATAGCGCATCATACCATTTGTATTTATGGATATACTCCCACTCTCCCTCCCACAACTATTCAGCCTGAGTGAGACAATAGTTTTTCTTGAGTGGATGTCAACTATTCTGGCAGGAGCACTAGTCAGAGTCAGCACTGGCCTCTTAAATATAGAAGACACAGTTCTGGACATGGCCATCAGTACCCTCAAGGGTAGCTCTGGTAGTTGGAGAAATCAGGGAAGATTAAAAGGATTAGATTAGGAAGTGCCAGGTACGATCTTCTGTGAGGACCTTTAGAAATTTTGAAAAGGTCCAATGCAATGGGAGGGGTAAGAGTAATCAGAGAAACACTGTTTATTACTGTTACTATTAATGCTCCAAGGACTGCTATGGTCTAGAGAAATAAAAGTAAAAATTATATAATTCACAATGCCTAGTAGAATCTTGATAATGGAAGATAACTGTTTCATGAAAGAACTCCTGCTCTAGTCTTAGACCCTAACAGGTTGAGTCCTACGGGAATGGTGGAGGGGGAAGAGGGAAGAGAGAGATTGCATTCAGTGAAGTCAACACAGTAGACAGAAAATCTCAAGTCTTAGTCTTAGTTTTACTAGCACCTTAAAACCCTATAAAAGTAAAAGAAAATTCTGCCTGATGGAAGATAATGTCATCTTAGGTCTCGTATTTCCATAAATAGTCTTCCAAATATAATACTTCTTAGCAAGCAACCAGTGATAATGAGGTAAAAGTCCAATTTTAAGCCAAGATGGAGTAGCTGTTTATGAATATCCTTCTCGTTGTAAATAACTGTAAAACTGAACAAAATTCTTTCGGGGAGTAGATACCAAGCAGCACAGAACTACAATCCTGGATCTAAAGAGAATTCATTAGGTAAATTCCATGATTCCCAGTCCTCTTCTGGGGTATAATTTTCTGACAATGTGCAAAGATGTGCAAAGAGCTGGAGTACTGGCAGAGGACGCTGGTCCTGCTGAGTTGTGGTAGAAGAAACTGGAGCAACTGAAATCAGCAGCACAGTGCAATGGACAGAAGGGCACTAGGTAAAAAATGCCCTGGAAGTCTGAGACTGACAACTTGATACAACACCAACTGCTGGGCTCCACCCCCACCCATTTCTGATTCAGTCAGTAGGTCTACAAGGAGTCTGAAAAACTGCCTTTCTATCAAGTTCCCAGGTGATGAAGATGCTTCTGACCACAACTTCAGTCACTCGTGTTCAGCTAAAGACAGTGTCCATGAAAAAGAAAACACATCAAGATCTGCCAACCCTTTTTCATTCATTTGGACTCACAAAATATTTCAAATAAAATGTCTGAGATAAAAGGAAAATACATTTTTTTTTTCACTCAAAATCAATGACTCCTATGGTAAATAAAACTTATTAAGGTTTTGATGGCCTACCTGTAGGTCTTTCACATTTGGAAAAGGAATTCCTATTGTAATGACAGCACGGGCATTGTCATCTGAGAAATCCAGACCCTCGCTCACTTTACCACGACAAACTGCTATCAAGAGAGCTCCATCTTAAACAACACAAAAGAAGTATTTTTAAAAAGCGTGCTCAAAATTACCTAGAATCTGCTTATTAGTGTCATTTTGAAAAAATTCTGATTATTAACAAATTCAAAAAATTAAATCAAACACTATTGAGATAAACTTTCAGAAGTTCAACGTCTTCAAATAAATGTGTGAAACTAAATTACAGATAGATGCAATCCAGGAACAGATTGATACACTGTGAATCTGCTGGTACACAGAGAAACCACATCAGAGTAGCCAACTTATATAAGAATGAGCAATTATGAACTAACAGTGCTCGTATAAAAACTAAAATTAAAATTATTACTTTACTATTAGAAGTAAAGTTCTCAGAACAATTTAAATAGCTTTAATTTGTACTATATACCATCCTGAATTCATATATTAAAAAGATACTTAAATATATGATAGAATGAATGTAAAACTAATTTTCTCCCATGTAAACCATCACATAATTCACAATAAAACATTAAAAAAAATAATAAGATACTTAAAACATACACACATACCTTATATTCACATAGTGCTACTGTGTGTACACATACACACACACAAGCTTATCACAAAAGGATAATGGCAATTATGTTAGAAGAAGCCCTTGTGGTTCAGTGCTTAACACTCAGTTGCCAACCAAAAGTCAGTGATTCAAACACACTAACTGCTCCAAGGGACAAAGATGTGGCAGTCTGCTTCCAAAAAGATTACAGCCTTGGAAACCCTATGGGGTAGTTTACTCTGCCCTGTAGGATTGCTGAGTCATAATCAGCTTGATAACAAAGAGTTTAGTTTTGGGTATCTGTAGGATGTCAAACTGTTCATAAACTATTTGTATTACTATTATATAAACAATAATTTCTCTAACTTTGAAATTGACTCTTCAGTTACATTTTGAAACCTCAAGCTTACTTTATATAATAGAATATAAGCACAAAGTATACTATTTGCATTGAAATAATGGGGTTCATTTTGCTAGTAAGGAAGGTATTTATGCATCCCTTGACTCTTGGACTCCTGGTGTGGTGCTGTAGGATCAGCACAGGACTCTGAACCACACAGTGGGCAGTTCAAACCCACAAGCTGCTCTTTAAGAACTTTATACAGGATCACTATGAGTTGGAATTGACACGATGACACTTAGTAACAGAAAATATTTCAGGTGATGTAAGATAGGTGATAGGCTACTACTTGAATGTTTGATGTTTCTTATATTGAAATGGCATATGAAAATAAAAATATTAATAAAAGAACTCTAAATAAAAGAATTTCTTTACACAAGGATTATAAAACATGACTTTTCTCCTAAGTACAAGACAGCACAAGCAGAATTCTAACACCACCAATCTCTTCTTACATTATAATGAAAAATACTTTGATTGGCTATGAAATGATTTCCAATTACCTTTTTCTCCTTTGCATTTGATTGCATCATAGTATACCTGCAGTAAGTCATCAAAATCTGTTTTTTCTCCTCCCTGTGGTTCTACAATGACTGTCTTCATCAACTCCAGATTATGCCATAAACCAGTATAGAGCCAGCGTTCTTTGAATTTTTCTAGTAACTAAAAAGGGGAAAGAAGAAATAAACAGTGTATATCCAACTGAACAAACTTGTTTGGGTTTGTTTAGAGCTTTATTGTCTACTAGCTGACTTGTGACTAGCATATTAACCTTTCTGTGTCTTACTTTACTCATCTATAAAGTAAGGAAAACAAACAATATACATACTTCAGACATATTGTCAGGAGGGACCAGTTGCTGGAGAAGGATATCATGATTGGTAAGGTGAAGGGCCAGAGAAATAGAGGAAGACCCTCAGTGAGATGGAATGGCAAAATGGGAGCATCCATGGGCTCAAGCATGGCAATTGTGAGGTTAGCCCAGGACAGGGCAGTATTTCGTTCTGTTGTGTATAGAGCTGCTATAAGTCTGTACCAATTCGATGGCATTTAATAACAACAAACTGAGTCCAACTGGCTATAATAATAATAATCTGTAAGTGATGCATAGATAAACATACAAACTGTTCAGGCATGGGAAGGATAATGGAATATATCCAAGAATATACATAGATTTTTGGCAGAGGATATTTATACATATGTATTTACCTGTACTGCAAATATATCCATGACTATATTAGAGCTCTGGTAGCGTAGTGGTTACGAATCGGGCTGCGAACCTTAAGGTCAGC